AAAGTTTGTTATACGTACCTCAGCTTGAAGGTTGAGTTTAGAGAGATACCGAACTCCACAAGTTTTTTCCTAGCCTGGCGCGTCGCGGGGCAGAAGTCCTCACTGACCGGTGTTCCTGCAGATTTTAGTTTGGAGCGGGAGACTAAAATTTTTTCTCTCAGCTTATACGAAGAAAACTTCACAATGACAGGTCTACATTTTTCAACCGTGAAAGAGCCGAGTCTATGCGTTCGCTCAAAGTCTCCTGGGGCAATTTGAAGGTCAACCGTACGTTGAAGTATGCCAACTATTTTATTTTCCGTTTCCGCCCATGTCTCTGACCTTGAATCGTCCACACCATAGAACAGCAGGTTTTCACGCCGTGATCTATCCTCAAAGTCGTCCAAACGGTTACGCAGGGAGGTGTTTTCTTGTTGTACAGAGGAAACCATTTTCCGTGTTTCAACCAGTTCTTTCTGAGTTGACTCGAGGGCAGATGTTTCTGATTCAACCACTTCAAGTCTTTTGCCAAAATCTGCGATTTTTTTTTCAATCGAAGCTTGGTTCAGCTTTATTTCATTAACTGTTTGGATAAGGTTAGACTGACCATTTTCAATTTAAACTGAACGCTTGCCTAGGTCTTGTAGCAAAGTAAACATCTGGTTAAATTGTATCACTTGGGCCTCCGACATCGGTCCCGGGTTAAGTTCCACATCACCGGCCAACTCTAACAGCACCGTGCGAAAGGAATAAAGACAGTCGGCAAGAATACACAGAATTGTGCCAGGGCACGGCAGCACTAAAAAAACAACATAATGTCTCTTAAATACGTCAATGAGATAGCACTTTTTACTAACCTGCACGATAACAGGAAGAAGTTTAGCCGACATGCCTCGGCTCGCGCTGCCGTGCCCACTGGTGAAGTCGTGATGGGCAGATTCTTTTGTAGACGATGGCCCTGGCGTCGATGTCACGAAGCCGAAAAGAATGTGGTCCATGTGACGAAAGTGGGGTACTGCGCCGAATCCATGTTGTGTAGATGACGCATCAGGAATGGGAGCGCGTCCGTCGGCGATCAGTAGAAGCTGCACGATAACAGGAAGAAGTTTAGCCGACATGCCTCGGCTCGCGCTGCCGTGCCCACTGGTGAAGTCGTGATGGGCAGATTCTTTTGTAGACGATGGCCCTGGCGTCGATGTCACGAAGCCGAAAAGAATGTGGTCCATGTGACGAAAGTGGGGTACTGCGCCGAATCCATGTTGTGTAGATGACGCATCAGGAATGGGAGCGCGTCCGTCGGCGATCAGTAGAAGCTGCACGATAACAGGAAGAAGTTTAGCCGACATGCCTCGGCTCGCGCTGCCGTGCCCACTGGTGAAGTCGTGATGGGCAGATTCTTTTGTAGACGATGGCCCTGGCGTCGATGTCACGAAGCCGAAAAGAATGTGGTCCATGTGACGAAAGTGGGGTACTGCGCCGAATCCATGTTGTGTAGATGACGCATCAGGAATGGGAGCGCGTCCGTCGGCGATCAGTAGAAGCTGCACGATAACAGGAAGAAGTTTAGCCGACATGCCTCGGCTCGCGCTGCCGTGCCCACCGCATTGGCGAGCTGAATTTCTGTCTCGGTCTTGGTTGCAGTAAATGAAGACTGTAGGTTAGCCAGCGTAACCGCCTAGCCACGATTTTTTTTTCTCTTTTAGTTTGTGCGATTGAAACGATTTCGTAGCCGATGACTGCCATTTCAAAATGCACCAGGTTGACATAACACAAATTTTCGCCCGAACTTTTCTTCTTTTATTTAAAGCACCGCATTTGCTCCATGAAATACGGCTCTCAACTCACACGAATTGTCGTGCCATTAAATAATAGATAAAAATGTTGGAAACTCAGTTTCTCTTTTCTGTCTCCATTAGCTTTCTGGTTTGTTTCAACAGCACTGGGTCATTATTTACTATTTTGAGTCCGGGTTTAGTTTTGCTTATATTGACAACCATTGTTTATAGCGTGTTTTAGAGCGCAGCTTTTAGGGGCCCGTTTCCGGCTTGAACGGCGTCGGCGTCGGCGTCGTCGTAACCGCGCGGTGCATTGTGGGTAAATTTCCCCGCTAGATCTAGCGGAAAAATTTCTCCGCTAAATCTAGCGGAAATACTTCCCCGCTAAATCTAGCGGAAAATATTCCCCGCTTAATCGAGCGGAAATATTTCCCCGCTAAATGTAGCTGTAAGCGGGCCGCCAGTCGGGTGATGAATAATGTTTATTGTTACGAAGTGCGCCTTTATCAAGGCGAGGAATGGTGTGACGTAGGACGTTCTACGGTACATGATTGGGTGAGCTCTTTCACTATCATGACACAGCTTGTGCCCTGCTACATCTCCCCTCTTTAAAGGAGAATGGGAAAGGGGAAGGGGCTTTGTTACAGTCTTTCGGGCAGTGGGTACCGGCAGGGTTCCCGGCGTTCTCGGGTACTTCTGCGTAGCTCTTGACTGGGCTCGTTGATGTCCTGGTCTGCCGGTCGGTCTTCGGTGGAAGGTCGACTTGAGTCCGGCTGGGATGCTGCCTCCCTTAGGTGCTCTCTTGTGCATCGAATCTCGCGGCCGTCTTCAGTCTGAAGAATCGCTGAACGCGGGGTGACCGCTGGTCAAGGGTTGACGGCTGGCGACCAGGTTCGCTGGCGTGTGTCGTACGTCGTGACCTGTTGCCCCGGTGACAATGGCGGCAGGTTTCGGGAGTTGCGGTTGTAGAAGGTCATCTGCCGCTGCCGGATCTCCTTGAGGCGGTTGTGGACAGCTTTGCTTGGCACAGTCTCCGGCTCCAGGTGGCTTGTTGGTACTGGTAGCAGCGTCCGCGTCTGTCGTCCCATCAGCCTCTGCACAGGAGACTTGAGGACAGCATCTCTGGGAGTATTTCGCCACTCAAGTAAAGCCATTTGGAAGTCTGGCATTCTGAACGAGCACTTTTTTAAACGTTTCTTGGCCTCTTGAACTGCTCTTTCACTCATACCATTAGAGCGTGGGTGGTAGGGACTAGAGGTAGTGTGCATTACGCCTAGATGGGCTAGAAAGTCTTTGAACTCTTTGCTGTTAAATGGTGGGCCGTTGTCACTACACAGCTTCAGTGGTAGCCCATGAACTGAAAAAACTTCAGCACACCACGATTTAACCATGTCTGCGGTTGTGTGGCGGAGCTCCCGAACCTCAAAAAAGAACGAATAGAAGTCTACAATTATTGCAAACTCGCGTCCGCCGTATGAGAACAAGTCCATTCCCACGATCTCCCAAGGCAATGTCGGGACGTCGTGGCTCAGAAGAGGCATCTTTACGTTTCGTGGCTGATGCATCTGGCACACCTTGCAGGCTTTACAAAACTGCTCTATATCATTGGACATGTTTGGCCAAAACAACACACTTCTTGCTCGCGCTTTCATCTTCTCCACCCCCGCGTGTGCCATGTGCAGGAGGTACATCATTTCTACTCTTTTTGATTTTGGTATCATTACCTTATTGCTGCGAAACAAAAGGCCGTCTTGAGTGTGTATCTCCTCGCGGTACGCCCAGTAGGGACGGACGATTTCTGGGACGTCTTGCTTGTTATCAGGCCAGCTTGATTCCGCGTAGTCACGCAGGTTTGAGAGTTCGGGGTCTTCATTGGTTGCTCCAAGAAGGTCCTTAAGGCGAGTTTCTGATGCTGAAACGTAAGCAAGTACGTTCACATGAAACTGGGTGGTTTCTTCTTGCATGCTGACTTTACTGGGGAAGCGTGACAAAGCATCGGCAAGAAAGAGTTCTTTGCCCGGCTTGTATAGAAGACGGATGGGGTAACGTTGCAGAGTCAATCGCATACGCTGCAAACGAAGTGGAACTTGGTGCAGTGGTTTTTGAAAAATCGGCACCAAGGGACGGTGATCTGTCTCGACAATTACTTCCGCCTGGCCGAAAATGTAATCATGAAATTTGGTACAGCCGTGCACAATTGCCAGTGTTTCTTTTTCAATTTGTGCGTATCGCTGTTGCGTTTCCGTAAGGGATCTTGATGAAAAAGCGATAGGATGGCCTTCCTGAGTAATGACGGCCCCCACTCCGTATTGACTGGCATCAACAGAAAGAGTGACTGATTTTTTTGGATCAAAGTACGACAGAACCGGTGCTTCGATCAATGCTCGTCTTAGGGCGTCAAAACTGTTTTGCTGCTGTTCGGTCCATACCCAGGCAACATCCTTGCGCAGTAGAGCTCTCAGCGGCGCAGTCACGTCGGACATGCGACGTACAAAACGCAGTACAAAGTTCATTGTGCCGAGAAAAACTTGCAACTCCTTACTGTTTGAGGGTGGCGGCATCGCCAGGATGTCATTTACGCGGTCCGGGTCCAGGCGCAGGCCTTTCGTGGTCAGGATGTGACCTAGGTAGCGGACTTCTGTCTGCAAAAAGGTACATTTCTTTAGATTCAGTCGCAGATTGTGATCTCGGCAGCGCGACAGCAGTAGTGTCAAGTGATGGTCGTGCTCTTCTTTTGTTCTGCCCCAGAGTAGAATATCGTCCATCACTACGGCGACACAAGGTAGCCCTTCTAGTAGGCGGTGCATTGCTGCTTGAAAAATTTCTGGCGCGGATGCGATTCCAAAGGGCATCCGGAGGAAGCGATATCGGCCGTACGGTGTGCTCATCGTGCATATTTTGGAACTCGACTCTGTAAGTTTGATTTGCCAAAATCCTGACGCCGCATCTAGGGTCGAAAAGAATTTTGCTCCAGACAGTAGCGCCGCGACGTCCTCTAGGGTTGGCATTGGGTAGTTTTCACGCAAAAGTGCTTTGTTGAGTGCCGTAGGGTCCAAACAAATACGCACTTTGTCATTTTTAATGACGGTGACCATGTGGCTAGACCATGTAGTAGGCTCTGTTACCTTGGTTATGACGCCTTGCTCCTCCATGCGCTGAAGTTCCGCTTTCACCTTGTCTTGAAGAGCAACTGGAACTCTCCTGGCCGGCACGACGACTCCAACAGTTCCAGGTTTCAGCTTCATTTCATACTCGACATCTTTCAATTGCCCAAGGCCTTTGAAAACTTCTGCAAAAGGTTGTGCGGCTTGGTACAAGTTCTCTAGATGAACATTCTGCACCCGGTACAGAAGTCCCAGGCGCTCGGCAACGGATCCGCTCAACGTGATCGGCACATGTTGTTTTACGATAAAGAAGAGTTCTTCGTGCTCTCTGCCGTTTCCGGAAAGAAGCAATTTTACTTTCTCGTGAGCAGTCGTCGTTTCCGAAAAACGCAGTTAGCGTCACTTGACACTCTTGCCGAGGCTTATCTGAAAGCTTTACGGCGTCTTGCATTGATATGACGCAGCAGTTAGCGCCCGTATCTAGCTTGCACGCCATTGGTTTGCCCTCAATGTGAACTGACGCGCTCCATTTGTCGGTCTCGACCCAGTTTACCGTTAATGCTTCGAGAAAGAATTCCTCGTCACTTTCGGTGTGCAGAGCGCGTAGTTCTTTCTTCGGTTTATTCGCGCTTTGTTGAAGTACAGGCGTCTTGCACACTTGAGCAAAGTGATTAAGCCTTCCACATTTCTTGCACGTTTTTCCTTTTGCTGGGCAGGTTTCGCCGCGGTGAGTAAAATAGCCGCACCTAGAGCAGGGACTCTTTTTCGCAGCAACAGCATTAATAGTTGTCTCAGATGCGCCTTGCGCTGTTCCAGTAATCTCTCGGAACTTTTCCTGCCCTTGTTCTTGAAGGCGACACAGCTCAACGGTCTTTTCGTAGGTTGGGTTTTCAACAAGTAATTTCCGCTGCAAGCTCTTGTCTCGAACTCCTAGGATGATACGGCTGCGTAGCATCCGATCTTCTAGCTCTCCAAATTCGCAATTCTTAGCTAGAATCCTTAGCTCTGTTAACCATTCGTTGAAAGGTTCACCTTCTTTTTGGTCTCTTGACCCAAATCTGAATTCCTGGAAAGTCAGGTTTGTAGCGGGCTTGTAGTATTCTTCGAACTTTTGAATCAGTACTTCTACACTGTTTCTTTCTTCATCTGTAGTGAACTTAAAGGTCTCGTACGCCTTTCTGGCTTCTTCTCCGATTGTTATTAGTAAGGTTGCTGCCTGCACTTCCTCTGGCTGATTGCTCAATTGCGTAGCGGTGGAAAACAAGGCGAACTCACGTTTCCAATTTTTCCATCCGAGCCATGCGTCGCCTGATGTGTCCAGGGGCTTCGGTGGCGGCAGCAGCGTTGACGGCAATGGGGGCATCGGCGGCGTTGACGGTTTCGACATCTCGACTGGGCACCGCTGCCACCATGTAAGCGGGCCGCCAGTCGGGTGATGAATAATGTTTATTGTTACGAAGTGCGCCTTTATCAAGGCGAGGAACGGTGTGACGTAGGACGTTCTACGGTACATGATTGGGTGAGCTCTTTCACTAGCATGACACAGCTTGTGCCCTGCTACACTAGCGAAAAAATTTCCCCGCTAACTCTAGCGAAAAAATTTCCCCGCTAAATCTAGCGGAAAAATTTCCCCGCTAAATCTAGCGGAAAAAATTCCCCGCTAAATCTAGCAGAAAAAATTCTCCGCTAAATCTAGCAGAAAGATTTCCCCGCTAAATCTAGCGGAAAAATTTCCTCGCTAAATCTAGCGGAAAAATTTCCCCGCTAAATCTAGCAAAAAACTTTCCCCGCTAAATCTAGCGGGAAAAATTCCCCGCTAAACATAGCGAAAATTTTTTTTCCGCTATATCTAGCGGAAAAGTTTCTCCGCTAAATCTAGCGGAAAAAATTTCCCGCTAAATTTAGCGGAAAATTTTTCCCGCTAAATCTAGCGGAAAAAAATCCCCGCTAAATCTAGCGGTAAAATTTCCCTAGTGGAAAAATTTCCCCGCTATATCTAGCGGAAAAATTTCCCCGCTAAATCTAGCGGGAAAAATTCCGCGCTAAATCTAGCGGAAAAATTTCCCCGCTAGATATAGCGGAAAGAATTCCGCGCTAAATCTAACGGAAAAAGTTTTCTGGGGTTCACGTGACCCCCGAAAGTCACATGACCCCCCCTCCCCCCCCCCGAGGTCACGCGACACCCCCCCCCCCCCCGCCCCGAAAACACGTGACCCTGAGTACTCTTTCCTTCTCCTCCTCATGAGCTGCGCTCCAATTCGGTGTTACAGGGAGTTGTAAACGGCTTTCATTTTTTAATTGCTTTTATAGTTGAATTAATTTAGGACTTTACCTGAATTGACTACGCGTTAAATTTATATCTGCAGAAGCCAAAGCTCAATGCGAAGAAATCACAAGGAGGCGAATACCGTGACCAACCAGGCAGAATCACAGCTCCATCCGGAACCAGCTTAGAAGTTCCCGGAGGACACAATCAGGCGGATACCAAAGAAGCGGCCGAAGGGCAGCAAATCCTCACACAAGACGTCCAGCAGATCGCCTCGAAAGCTCGGAGTTCACGATCGGCGAGAGTCACCAAGAAACAGGAGGACATCGGAGACATCCGACATCTCGTAAGCAAGGCATGACCTAGAACCTTCTCTATGAAACAGCCTTTGAAACGGCACTACTCCATGGGGAATGCGTTACTTGTAATTGTGCCGATTTTTCCAGCATTCCTTGAATAAGATAAGATCTGAAATGAGATCAGACACACTGATGGCGCGTGAGAAATAACTTTGTAGAGGTCTGCATATAGAGTGTATAAAAGGTATCAGCAATTATTAACGCCGCACTGGCGTTGATATAGAACACGAGCTCAGTGCGTGGGGATTTGTAACCCAGGTGCACTGGTATTCGAGCTCTCACTCTCCCAGGCCTTGCCTTTGCAAACGCTGGCTCGCAATTTTTGATTTAATTGCCCGGCATTGGCAGATTATATATCCATTGACTAGCATATAAGTTTCCCAAATAGAACCTCTAGTAGCTTATTTCGTACTGTTAGTTTCGCTTGTATATGTGCCCTTCAGAGAGGGCAAGCATTTCTTGTGTGAAAACCACCGAGTGTTTGAGGACTAAAGTTTGGCGTTCCGTGTCTTTTATTACGCATCAATCAGGGAGGGCACCTCTCTCCGCAATCATTTGGTAGGACTGGGCAGTATCGCGATACGAATGTATCCGGATAATACCTTAGAGATTCTTTCAAATATATGTATCTCTGTATCAAGATACATTTGTAAAATACATGTGTGCCTAATTATTGAAATACAATTATGATCTATCGAACGTAGCGCGATGCTTTGCCAGGCTTATCTATCCTGTCATTTGCTAAAGAGAACTAGCACAAAAAGTAGCAGAATAAGCTCTTCCCACAAAGTCCTCCGCTCTTTTTCCTTCAGCTCAGCGAACGCTGGGAAGAAGGCGAGTGGAGAGAAGGAAATAGAGAATCATGGGTGTAGAAAACTTCTAAGATGAGCTTCTCTTCCTCTAATGTTGCAGCAGGTTCCGTGCAGGCTAAGGGTACCTTAGTAAAAACAGTTTTGAGTGTATTGTTCCATCTATCCACCCTGCATGATTTACCGCAGTTTGTCACACCTTTTGGGTAGAAGGCTTTTATAAAGTATGGCCACTATCGGTTGGTCTTCAGAACGTATTTTCGAGAAGTTTTGCTTGCGCGAGTTTTTAGTCTATAGCTTCACTTTGTTTTAGCCTTCTTCGGGGGTTCACTCGTCTTTACGGCACTGCTCATGACCTCTGCCGGGTTCGGGGCACCCCAGATGGAGGCGAACGTGAACGAACGCTGTAACGCTACACTTAGTTTACAGAACCTAGCGTTGGAAATTTTTTGCCTTGTGTATGTTTGCATTTGCGATCTCTACTTCGGAGATGGTTTTGCTCTGTGTGTGTATAACTTAGCTGTCTACTGATGTGCTTTCTATTGTTTATGGCTGCTCTTGTGAGCTTCGTTTAGAATGTGCTCTGTCCCGTATATGCGCTTGTTTTTGGAATGTTCGTATTTGTTTTAGGCTCTGAGACTTTGATTGGCTCTAAGAAAACCCCTCTTGATTCGTCCTTCCCAAACTTTCTCATTGGTGGACTGGAGGACCCCAGAATGCTGGTGAACTCAATATAAGCGGCCACCGAAGGGCCGTAAGGGACTTGGCTCCCGGATACCATGCCGTGAAGATCATCCTGCCTCTGGAAACCAACCTGCACGTTCGACCCCCCTTCGGCTGTGGAGCCGTCCGCCCGCTAGCTCGCAAACTTAGTCCCCCTTAGGGCTGTGGAGGAGTTCGGCTCGCCCGCCTTTATAGTGCCACTGGGGATGATGTCGTATTTACAGGCATTCGGAGTGGTAGCTATACGTATATGTGAAGAATTCGATGTAAATAAATGCGTGTTAGCTGACAAATATAATTAGAGGTTTATATGTGGGCGGTAAGGGGGGTGGGGGGATGGGTGTAGGGTGTGAAAGACACCCTCTACCCCTGCCCCCCCCCCCCCCACACACACACACACTTTTCGAACTTTGTAAATATTATTTATGTATGTATCTACAACTGTTTTCAGGGATTAATTGTTGCCGCTTTCCGAAAAAATATAATAAACATATCCTGTCGTATGAGAGACAAATGTATTTAAGAATCTGCATCTTGCTCTTAAAACCCATACATCTCTGTGTTTGTATTCCGAGATACTTTTGGGACTACCTCTGAAAAGTCCTGTCATACAGTAGAACATTCATTTCAACTTTGCAACGGTTTTAATAATAATCAATATTAAAAATACGAACGCTTCTTTTAGACACAAGCAAACTGTTAGACTAGGGTGCCTTCCTGTGCGCTTTGCTTAGGGTGGAGACATCTGGTCAATTTGTCTCACACTTTCATTTTTTTTTGTTCAGAAGCGCGTGAAAGAAGGTGTCCCTGCACGCGTTTCTAGCGCTGACTGTGCTATGGTGGCATTTTGTTTTTGTCGATTTCTTTGTACTTTACCCGTGAGTGCGTGCTGTCGGCATTGGGTACTACGAAGGGTGGCATCACCCTAAACAGAAGGACATTGAGGCACCCAATGTTAAACCCTTATCCTTAAGGTTGTCATTTGCACTGCATGCCACTCGCGATGATTAGAGTCCCCAGGCAGCATAACTCTCGTTGCGGCGGCTCCGATTACTTAACACCCAGCTCAAATAAGAAGACTTTTCAGGGTCAATGGCGGTCGGCGATGCAAACGATTGAGTCGAGCACTGGGGCGCGTTTTGGGCACGTATTGAGAGATGGCGTCGGGAGCAGGATCGGAAGGTGCAGCCAACAAGCGAAAGAAACCGGACGACACGCAGACGAAATCCGTCGTGGGAAGTGAGCCATCGTTATGTAAAGCACGTTTTTTTTTGTTTTTTTTTTAACTTCAAGTTTTGCTTTGATTGTCCGGATTTATATTTAAATCCAAGGCACACTACAAAAACATTATCTTCATTTAAGTAAACCACGTTCGTCGCGAGCAGTCTCGATTAGAGTAACTGCATATGCTATGCTATCAGAACCTATTGGCACCGAGAGCGAACACAAGCGTCGCTGCGGTCGCCGCACCCTGATTCGGTGAAGTGTGCCGTGATGTCAGGGGAAGGACTCCGCTTTGCGATATCGCATCCGGCTTGCTTCTCTCCCCTCTTACCTGATTTGCGATCATGCTGAGCTACTGTTTAGCGCCGCAATTCAAATGTCGAAAAGAAGCCGGTTTTACCTTTCACCAACCGAACATATGGAGGTTCAAGAGAGCATGGACAATCAAACTTTGGATGGGGGAGGCACCGTCATTGTTCGCCGTTGTGTGCCGCAAGCACCTCGAGGAGAGGGACCTCGTTTACTCGGTGTACAAGGCGCTGGATTATGCCGATACCGGCGTGTTTCCGTACCTTTCCTAAGCATGATTGTCACTTTTACCTTTATAATTAGGTTAAAGTAGCGAACGCTATCGGCGGAAGCAATTCCGCCGATGAAACTTTCCGTCCGTCCACACGACACAGGGCGGTCATGTTAGGGGTCAGTGAAGCAGTGGCGTAAGTGTTTCAGACGCTCGAAATCTGTTCCTTTGCATGTTCGTGAGCAAGGAGAATATAACATTCTGCTTTGCACGCCTTTCAAATGGCACTTAGATGAAAGGTCTTTGGGCTGTCGGCAAATGAGCCTGTGAACCCGTCTCTGTGTGCGCCGCTCTGCATGCACTGGTTCGCAGATGCTTTAAAAGACATGTGTCTGAAGGCCTTTGAAATGCTTCTGGAACAGGGTTGTTTTACGTCAATGTAGTTTATTCGTATGCAGGAATGTTTTATTTTTAAAGGACGAACAATTGCTTAAAATTAGTTTGTATTGTACCAGGAAAAACGGCCGAATTGGCTCCAATTTCCTGTCTGATATGTTTGAAACTGTCAAAAATATGCAGAGTAATAGTACCATAATTAGGAATGTTTATACGTTTTCCTGACATTCTTCCTTTTATCCAGCCTTGTTTATT